TCCCAATATTCTCTGTCTTGTCTTTGAGTCCTTCTGCTCATTCGTGATTGACTGCGTTTTGTGCCGATTTACCTAAACACTCGTCTTGGAGCTGGAGTGTCTGAGATGTGATTTGCTTAACGAGGGGAGTTGTCAGTTGGACTGAGAAAGCGTATTCTCGACTTGCTTCCTGACTTGGATTTCCATGGTAAAGGCTTCCCAGGCGGACAGGAAGAACAAGGATGTCCCTATCTAAGTGATTACACCTGTGCTCCGTTATCACAGGAATAAGTATAGCTGGGACACGTGGATTTGACAATTAGCTGGCACCTGATGGAAACGCTATTATACCTTGCTCGCAGTTCTCCCCCTCGAAGGAAGCATTGCAAGTACAGGTATAGTCATTCAGTGCATCAGTACAGGTTCCATTGTTTTGACATGGATGAGATTCGCAGTCGTCGATATCTGAAAAGAATGCAAAAATGAAAATCAAAGTCTGTTACACAGCCGATGGTTATTGGGCCACGCCCAACCAAGGTGCATTGCGGGGTTAGTGGCTACTCTCAACATTTTCCGTAAAACAGAAATGAAAGCTTATCGTGTGTATCCTTTTATACGACTAAATATTTGCAATCGTGATCGAGAACTGGCTTTTTATACCATCATAGATTCGTTAGGTGTCTGTCGTCTATCTGCTACGCATTTGTGTCGTTTGATTCCGCGTTCGCGATAAAAAGGCCATTGAAAAGTGGCGTCTTGTAGGGATGGAAAGCTGCCACATTAAATGGGTCACAAGCAAAAGACAGCCTTAGGATTTGGCAGAAAAACGAGACGCGAGTTTGCAGAGGCCCTGCTACACATTACTTCGGGGGAAAGTCAAACAGTAAGCTCCTCTCGGTACTTTGATGACCGTCAGACGGTGAAACGTTTACAATCGATTGCACGCCTAATTCCATTTGAGTATTTGAGTGGAACTTTCTATCCCGGTGAAATCAAATTCACAGATACATTACCCCAAAATTTCATCTCGGTATCCTCTATTCTTTCAGCGACTTTGAAACACTGTATGTTTTTATTAAACCGCGTGGAACATGGCCAATTTACTCATAGGAAGCTTGGCGCTTCTTTTCTTACTATCTTTTCTTTGTGCCTGGTTAATGACACGGATAAAAATTCAGTTATTCGAAGGTCATCTTCTATTTGTGATAAGTTCGGACGTTACGGGTCGATTCCCTGTTAAACCTATCGCTTTTGCACATGTTTGAGTGAATAGCGATTGTGCCGTGATACATTAGACAGTTGTCGTTTGCCTGTCCTACAGGTTCTTCTTCGGTGCTGTTCCACAGACAGAAAACCTCGTCAATATACCTCTTCCAAAGTAGCGGTTTAGTAGTGCTCTGGGCGGTAACACCCTTTTTCTATTTTTGCCATAAAAAAAGTGGCTAAAGCTACTGCCATTGTGGTATTCTTCTTTTTCGTNCTTTTGCACATGTTTGAGTGAATAGCGATTGTGCCGTGATACATTAGACAGTTGTCGTTTGCCTGTCCTACAGGTTCTTCTTTGGTGCTGTTCCACAGACAGAAAACCTCGTCAATATACCTCTTCCAAAGTAGCGGTTTAGTAGTGCTCTGGGCGGTAACACCCTTTTTCTATTTTTGCCATAAAAAAAGTGGCTAAAGCTACTGCCCTTGTGGTATTCTTCTTTTTCGTGGGTTTGTGAGAAAACGTCTCGAGTTTCCCGGACAAGAACAAAAAGAACAACAGCGCGTACAGCACACTTGTTGAGCGCGTGGTTCTTTAATTATTTCTTCTCTCGTTTCCATGGCTTATGCAATCACTAGGTCTGTCGGTGTTTCGTTGGATGAAGTCCTTGTTGCAGTTGTTCTTTGAAAACGCACGGTCAAGGTATTTTTACTTGTCGGATAAGTTGTCTGTCGTGTTGCACACCAGTTGTGCTCGTCGTATTGGAGCATTAGAGGCAAAACATTATAAAAATATTTATCAAGTGGCATCAAGCCATTTGATATTTTAGGTAAATAATTCCTATGGAAGGTTAATTGACTGAATATTTGTGGCATCTGTTCTTTAATAGCTGATTGAAAAAATGCTATATTTCTGTATCTATCACGCCATGAGTGAATTCTACAACATTTAGTAAATGAGAGGATGCAGAATTTCTGTGACATCGAGTAAGTGAATGTTAGCAGAATTTCTGCGACATCTAGGGAGTGGGTGTTTGGAAAATTCTGCAACACATAGTGTTTGAGTGGTTGCAGATTAATTTCTGCAACATCCAGTGTATGAGTGGTAGCAGAATTTCGGCGACACCCATGAAAATGAGAGGTTGCTGACAACCAGAGTATGAGTGCTTGCTGAGTTTCTGCGACATCTAGTGTATGAGTGGTCGCAGAATTTCTGCGACATCCAGTGTATAAATGGTTGCCGAATTTCTGCGACATCCAGTGTATGGGTGGTTGCAAAATTTCTGCGACATCCAGTGTATAAGTGGTCGTAGAACTTCTGTGACACCCCAAAAATGAGAAGTTGCTGAATCTCTCGACATCCAGCAGCATATGAATGGTCGTAGAATTTCTGCGACTTCCAGTGTATCAGTGGTCGTAGAATTTCTGCGACTTCCAGTGTATCAGTGGTCGTAGAATTTCTGCGACTTCCAGTGTATCAGTGGTCGTAGAATTTCTGCGACTTCCAGTGTATCAGTGGTCGTAGAATTTCTGCGACTTCCAGTGTATCAGTGGTCGTAGAATTTCTGCGACATCCAGTGTATCAGTGGTCGTAGAATTTCTGCGACTTCCAGTGTATCAGTGGTCGTAGAATTTCTGCGACTTCCAGTGTATCAGTGGTCGTAGAATTTCTGCGACTTCCAGTGTATCAGTGGTCGTAGAATTTCTGCGACTTCCAGTGTATCAGTGGTCGTAGAATTTCTGCGACTTCCAGTGTATCAGTGGTCGTAGAATTTCTGCGACTTCCAGTGTATCAGTGGTCGTAGAATTTCTGCGACTTCCAGTGTATCAGTGGTCGTAGAATTTCTGCGACTTCCAGTGTATCAGTGGTCGTAGAATTTCTGCGACTTCCAGTGTATCAGTGGTCGTAGAATTTCTGCGACTTCCAGTGTATCAGTGGTCGTAGAATTTCTGCGACTTCCAGTGTATCAGTGGTCGTAGAATTTCTGCGACTTCCAGTGTATCAGTGGTCGTAGAATTTCTGCGACTTCCAGTGTATCAGTGGTCGTAGAATTTCTGCGACTTCCAGTGTATCAGTGGTCGTAGAATTTCTGCGACTTCCAGTGTATCAGTGGTCGTAGAATTTCTGCGACTTCCAGTGTATCAGTGGTCGTAGAATTTCTGCGACTTCCAGTGTATCAGTGGTCGTAGAATTTCTGCGACTTCCAGTGTATCAGTGGTCGTAGAATTTCTGCGACTTCCAGTGTATCAGTGGTCGTAGAATTTCTGCGACTTCCAGTGTATCAGTGGTCGTAGAATTTCTGCGACTTCCAGTGTATCAGTGGTCGTAGAATTTCT